TGTTTGTTTCAATGTCTCTCAGGAGCGCACTTCAAGTGGATTTAGTGGAGCGTAATAATCTTTACCGACCATTTCAGATGCCGTTCGCCGGGCTTCTGAGACCAAAGCCGAACCCCCACTTAACCAACTTCTCGGCTGATCCCTGCGGCATTTGAAAATCACCGTCTAACTGGCTCGATTCTAGTCCCCGTTTGCGTCATATTCGAGAATTTACTCACATTAGTCTCCTAAAATATGATTTTCATGCCTACCTTATAGGTTGGTTTCCTCGAGGCATATTTGTCCAACCTAGCCCCCTTATTACAAAACTAAACATCCAAAAAAAGAACTATCATTATATCATATAGGTGAGATGAAAGTAGTAACCCATTTAAACTATCCGTAGCATATTACCAAATGATCAATTTAATTAAAAAAATCTATCTATTAAGCTTTTTCTAATTTGTCCAAATAATTGTTTTCCGAAAGGAGTGCTTCGCAAGATAAAATCGCTAATCGGTGTTGCTGTTCAAAGGAGAAATAAGTGCTACTCATAGATAGATTAAGAAGTATGCCTTCCAGAAAAGTTTCAGAATCAGTGCCAAATTCTGAATGACTCCCCACTGTGTATTGAAGCCTCATCAGCACATACAAATAAATCTTTCCTCCTAACAATTTGACGATCGACTGATTTAAGTAGTAAACTGAATATAGCCAATATACCTCTATATTCCTTACTTTATTCATAATAAGCAAGGGATATTTTGCATTACACAAGTTTATCAACCACAATTTGGGCATATTTGAAATGTCAAATACGATATGTGCCTCAACATCTCATCGAAGGAGTTTGCTTTTTATATTGCCCACGTATATCTTTGTGGCACCCTTAAGATGGGCTTTAATTAACCCAACCTTTTGTTTAGTTGCAGTATCCCTTAAATTTATAGTGTCGGCTTGGCCTCGTTTTCGCAAGTTGGTCAGAGTTGACTTGTCGAGATTATTCCCTGCATTGTCATGGTTAGAGTTCCGCTGTGATTGTTGATAAGACCTAGACGAAGTCCACCCAGGATGGGAATACTTTTTTGGGAAGAAGGGCTATGTGAAATTCAATAGAGACATCATGTCTACTCATATCATTGTGGGAAAATTCAACTACCAGTTTCTCATCACATCAAACGAAATAGGGTGAACATAACTCATAAACCTAATTTATTGTTAGTCTCGAAAACCTTCTCCCAACACATTTTGGTCGGAGTGACAGCGAGACCTTGTGGAAGATGACTAGTCCTACTTCCCCTAGCATAGTATTCATGATTTCCAGCATCGGACTGTTGGCTTGGTACACTATCCGACGGGATATGTCGTCTTTAGCACATTATTACGAATTATCAAAGTGTCAAGTGAAGGCACTTGACCAACTTCCTGTTCAATCGTTGTGGCAGCATTTCTCTGGGGGTGAATCTCTTCCTCTCAACCCCACTTCAGATCGCTCATTCGCCTATTCACAACATTCTGTGCTTTCGATTACTCCAATGACGCCCAAGAGTGTTTCACTACAAGTGGATTTATTGGAGCGTTATCATTTTAACCACCGGTTCCAGGTGCCGTTTGCAGAGCTTCTGACATTCCTACGGCCCCTTTTTCTTCAATCTCCGTCCCCGTTTACGTCCGATTCGAGCATTTAGAGCCGGTGATACCCATGCCTAAGCATCTTCCTCTCCCTATGCTTCAGACTCACCATCTCTTTCGCATTCACACTCCCATTGTGTCTGGCGTAATTCGGAAACACCGATGTGAAAATCCACAGCCTCCCTTTTCCACTTATGATCGCGTAAAGCACACTCCTCTCTCTCAAGTTGACAGTCCCATCTAAATCCAAGGCACTAGTCAGTTGTTCATGTTCACATTGGTGGTATCCCCCCCTTTTTGGTCCGGCATAACATCAGTCACACATATGCACACTGGGGAAGTATCTCTGACACACATACCTCTAGCCTAGAGCCCCTAATGGAGCATAATCTGCCTGTATCTGTCCCTTAATTTCCCATCCCACACTGGCACATTTTCAGGTTGATTCCAGGTATGACTCCTCTCATTGCAATCGCCTTTTCTTGACTTCCCATTGCCCCTCATGATCCTCCCCTTGGCGATGTCTCTTCTCTATTTGGTCAAAGCGTCTTACTTTTACTGTACTGAATCTCCAAGTCTGCCCAGGCAGTACGCGAAAGTATTGCTGACTCTTCCCTCTTCCAATCTCTTGTTCACCAGGTTGCTTTGAAAGAGGATGTCCACAGCCTCCCTGATTTTCTGTTTTCTGGTGTTCTCCCCATATAAAGCCAGTCTTTCAGTTGCACTCCAGTCAATTGTGTAC